CCAGAGAGATGAAAAATTAGCAACATCTTCGTTGGGAATCGAACCACGGACCTCTGAAATACAGGCTCAGTGTGCTGACCACTACACCAGGCTAGGAAAGTGGGAGAAATACCTTATAACCCTATAATTTTACCTGGCTGCACAATCTACTCTAAGCAAGTATGTGTGTCTCTCTCGTAACAATCATCCACCTCCAGTGCCAACTCTTACTGCAGAGACAAATTAGTCGAGAGAAGATACTTTTTACCTCCAGACAAACTATACATAAAGGTATGGGAGTACGTATGAACTATACATTATACATAAAGGTATGAACAAGCAATGAAATGGAGCCCTTGCAATACATTTTTACAGTGAAGTCTATGTACATGTGTGATGATTTTTTTCCTTGTTATAAAACTTCAAAAAATCCCATTTTTAACTTCCTTGTACAAAGTACAATCCTGAAAATTTTCGATTCATATTTCAATGAAAATATCTATTTTGACCACAATTTAACAATGTTTTTCCATGACATCTGTACATAAGAACAGAATAAATTACCCTTTTTCCCAAAACAGGTTGCAAATAGGATTTAAAATGGATTCAGAAGAGATTTTTTTGTGATGTCTGTGCGTACTTCACATAACTCAAAAACAAGTAGCCTCTCAGAACATTGAAATTTTGTCTATAGGACTGCTATAACATGTAGTTGTGCATTTCCATTTTTGGTTCCTATCAGCAGTGCCAAAAGTATATACAGTACAAAGTCTGTTATCCGGAATCGCCGAAATCTTGACGATTCCGGATTATAGAACATCAATTTAAATCTGGTAAGATGGCATACAGAAATTATACAATTAAAAATATGAAACCGTAATTTATGAAATAAAGAGCAATTATGATCTACAGGGTATCAAATTGCTTAATATTTATTTGTTTACTTTATTATACATTTCTTTCAACATGCGTAAAGCATACCAAAAAAAAAAAAAGTTTGAGGCGCGGATTATAGATCATTCCGGATAATGCATGTCTGGTACAGGGTTCGTAACGGTCCTTATAAGTGCTTATAAGTCCTTATATTTGAAAATAAAATATAAAGGCCCTTATAAGTGCTTAATTTTCCTTTAAAGCCCCCCCTTTTTTTTCTGTTTTTAGTGCTTATTTATTTTTAGTGCTTTTTTTTATTCCTTTGTTTTTCATGAACGCACATTTTTTCCCCGTACCAAAGCCGAAACTAAATAAACAACATTTCTTCCTTATAAAATGTAACGTCAGATGGTGAATCATACTCCCAGAAAATTGCTTTTCCCCCCCTTCCTCTGCATTAACGTAATCTATGATGCGCACGAGAGTACAGACAGGTGCATGTCGTTCTATTGGTCAAAGAATTGCAAAAATGATAGAAAATTCTGGTACATTTCGGTATTCTTTTCCTCCCACCCAAATACCACACACGTTTGAATTTCTATCAAGATTTTAATAATTCGCATTCTCGTTCCGCGTGGTCAGTTCATATTCGTGTTTATTATGATCGTTGTGCATATATTATGAGCATATGTATGAATATTTATAATAATATAATTGCAGTAACTGAAGTATAGATAAACTTCCAAAAATGGGTGTGTAAGTATTTTTACACAGATTAGCTTTCTAAGGAATAATATTCGAAATGGCTTGAATAAAAGGAAAGTAATTGAATATTCAAAGTAATTTCATTTTCTTTGCCAATACATTATACAGTACGGAGGTTGTGAGTTTCTCCACAAAATCTCTAGTATTGAAGCAGCGGACTTTTTTTTTTTTTTTTTTTTTTGTCGCTGTCTAATCTGGATTGAATAGGACTAAAAGTTTTAGCGGTCTGCCCAACCCAAGCGAAGATTTATTCTGTTCCGGAAATTTAATACAGTCTGTTGACAATTAGAATCAGAAACAACCCAGATTAGTAAGTCTCTTTCTTTTCCTTTATTTAGTTCTTCTTCTTTCTCTGAATACCAGCAAGTGTTGATTCCGATTGCATAATATCACATATGGAAGAATTACCCCACACGTATTGCGCGATAACGTTTGCGGTATTTTGCATTGATAATTAATTTTGATGTTCGGTCTGAGATTTGTTTCATTAATTAAAAAAATAATATATGACTCTATTAGATGTATTAGTATAAATGTAAGTACTACGTGATCTTCTAATATATATTTTCTGTGTTTATGATACATTAATATACAAAAATAATAATGTAAGACTTCAGTGCTGACGTAGTTGTGTGTAACAAGTTAAAAAATGAAAGGAAATGTATTAATAAAATATTTTGCCTTAGTAATTCAACTAAGTATAATAAATAAGATGTACAAAAAAAAAATATTTCTTCCCCAATTAGTTTCTTAAAAAGATGTTTATTGTAATTCGATATAACTAGCTATACTAATGTAAATATATTGTTTGTATGAAGTACAATGTAAAAAGAAAGTTTGTATGTATGTTCGAAGTAATTATGTTATATTAATCTGCCATAATCCAACTTTTGTTAATAGGTCAATCTCTTTGTAATAATTGTATGCTGTGTCTTTGTAATTGTATATTCAATACGTAAGTCTAGTATTGATGTAAAATTACTATGTAAATGTCTTGGTAGGCTAGCATCCGATGCGGGCCAACTAAAAGCCCAGCGGGGTACAGTAGTGCGGCGGAGCAACACCTGTAAAAGTCACTGACGAAGTTCTGGTCCTCCGTCCACTTTTCCCTGTCCCTGTGCTTTCTAAGCAGAATATTTCTGAGTTCCGTTGGTTTTTATATGATGCACATATCGAAATGTCAAAATCATTTATTTAGCCTAAATTTAAATCTAAAGAACGGCTACAATCTACCCCACTCCTCTTTTTCCAGTTACTATCCGGAATATTCGGGTATTTCCGAGTATGCTGGTTAGTTAAGCTTTTACTGTTAAAGGATGACTGAATGAAGCAATTTCCCGTCATCTGATTTCAGAAATGTGCCTCTTTTTTACTTAAATTACTTTGCTTGGGATATATGTTAGGGGAAAACTGTTATGCAATGAAAATTTAGAAAATGTTCAGAATTTTGATTTAAGTTAAATTATTTAAATATTAATATGAGTGGAAAAAATAAATTGTATTTATTATTAGGTGCCCAACGAATACAATTAATATGGCTTATTATTATTTATTTTCTATATTTTCAACTGAAATATCATCATTAAATTTTGTAATATAGTTTAGTTCTGCATAGGTTTCCCCCCCCCTCTCATTGTAAACTAATTCTGTAAATTGAACTGTCATTTAAAATTTAAAAAAAGTTAATTGTTTTCCATGGTTGAGGTAATGCTCATTCTCGTAATAAATATTGCATTGCTCATATTTTAAATTACAAGTCTAATTTTTCTTTTAAGGTATTATGCAGTTGTGTATAATGTAATTAGACAGGTGCTTATTTTTTCCTTAAAATGTGCTTGAAAAGTGCTTATAGGTGCTTATTTTTTTAACTAAAATGTGGCTATGAACCCTGCTGGATTACGAACTTTGTACTGTACATAAGTATATATGTACCCACTTTATTACTCGGCTCTGTGAGCTTAGTTTCTTTAGTCTTATATGTTTGTAAATAGTGCATTTTTTTACTTTAAAAATGATTGATTTATGTTATTCTTATCTTCTGGTTAAGGTTTTTATGTCTTTAGTTAATCTGCATGCAATAGTTGTAGAACTATCAGCCATTTAAAAGTTGTTTGAGTGTGGCTAAGCCTAATGTTTGTTTATCATAGCAGCCCTATTTGTTTACATTTGAAACTTAGCAGAATACTAAGTTTCAAATGTAAACAAATTAAATGAATTAAGCCAGTTTCTGAAACTTCAGCGTTTTCTTGCCGAGTAGGCCCAAAAGCAAACTTTGCAGTTTGTGCACCAGGAAAGGTTCCTTCTTGCCCGTTGGCCGAATTGCTTGTTTTTGCATAGAAACTCTATTTTAGTTATAAAAATTATTATTTTTAAAACTGTATTTGGTGTTTTATATTTTTAATAAAGATATTTAGAGGTTTTATCTATTTTTACCTTATCTCAAAATGAGAACTGAATTAATTGAATGAGAAATATATCTCTAATGAAATTCAAGGAAATAAGTTTAAATGAAATGCAAGAAAAAATATGTATATTTTAATATTCCGTACAAGGCAGTCATGTGGTGTACACATCAGATTTTTCTTTAAGCTTTCTCATTCATAGTGAGTTTAGATTTTGGATAAAACTGGGCAATCAGAAGTGGTATTTCAAATGAAGTTCATGAATTTCAATGAAGTTTTAATGAAAGATTATTAAATTCTTTTCAATTTTAATATTTGAGACATATAATCAAGAGAACCAACATATTAGATTTTGGCTAAACTGGAAGTGATACCGGTAGGAATTTTGTACACATATAAATAATATGAGTAAAATTATAAGTGAAATTGTATTTTTTCTGTGTAATGTAACATGAAAATCTAGAGAGATGATGCTCTGCCAGAAAAACAGGAATACAAGGGCAAGTCTAACGGTCAGTGTATCTCATTAATTGGCAAGATATCGCCAAGGTGATGTTTTGGCAACATTTTGATCCAATGCCTTATTACCTTACCTTTTACCTTAATAGGTATTGTAACTGAATAACTAATTGATTTCATATGCAACTATAACTGTATCTGCTCCCAGCTAACTTCTCTTTGCACTGCTTTGTATAAAGTTCTTAGTAATTTGAAGTGTAACTACTAATTCTACTTTGTTATACTGTGATGAGTTGCAAGATTATTTTTGTAGAAAGTTCCAGAATTGTGAAGTGTTTCTTTTGGTAAAATAAATTTTATCAAGCCATCATCAAGTCTGTGTGCATTCAGCAGATTTTCTTTTTGAATTTGGTATTTAAAATTTGTATATGCATATGTAACCATGACTGAAAAATGATTTTAGTGTACTTTTAATGATATTTACTTAGAGTTCTTTTATATATCAATAACTATTTTTCTCAGGAACCAGTAGTACATGTCAGTGGAACTGTCAGCAAAACTTTTAAACATTCTCCGGCCGAGGTGGAGCTCCTTCAAAAACTAAATGAAGTGTGGCAAAGAAATATGGAATATAAAAAGAAAATTAAGTCTCTTCACCAAGCTAGACGTCGACATGATCGAACTATTCGTCACTTGAAGGCTTTGTTAAAAGACCTGAAGAAAAAGACTGCAGTAAGTGATGAAAGCCATGATGATGATGATCAGAAAATATCATCAGAGTCAATTCTGGCTCCAGATGGGACTATTGCTCTGCAAATTATAAAAATATGAGAAAACCAGTTTCTAAAAGAACATGTAGATAAATTAAGTGCCTTCATCGTTTCTCATGTTCATTCACCAACTTGAGTAAGAAACTTATTTAAAATTTTGCTATTTCATAATAGTACTGTAAAATAAATTAATATTGAAACATAATTACAACGGCTGGCTTCACAGTTAAATTTTCAAATGGTTTTAGTGGTTTTTCAATGGTGTCCTTATGTATAAATTATGTGTTTAACAAATAAGACAAACTGACTGGTGCTTGATTTTGTATGAGAAACATCAACAAAGTTAGATGGTGTGGTTGGAAGGCTGTAATGCAGAACATGCCAAACTATTTTTCCAATATAGCTATTAAAACTTTGCTATAAAAATTGCGATATAGTCATTTGTTTATCAGGAATCAGCTAAGCAAAAGAGAAATGTATCTAAGTGAACCTTGGTAACAAAAAAGAAAGGGGAGGTAGGAATCCCTAAGTTTAACAGAAAGTAGAAAAATGATTCTTGAAAATGCAATTCCAGTGATTAAGTTTACCTTAAGTCATAAGCAAAAACTGATATACATACAACGGGATAATGCAAAAACACATGCTTGTGATGACGATGAAGAACTTCTAGTTAATTGCCCTATACTGAATTTAAATCATATTCATAAAACAGTCCTAATTTAAAAATTTTGAGTCTTGGCCCTTTTTGAAATTCCATATAAGCTTTGCAACAAAGTTTTGCTACATGTAGTTGACAAACAGATCAGATGCGTGAAAAATGCCTTTAATGAATTAGATACTTGATAATCACATTACACACGGAATCCACTATGTTGGATAAAGAAGGAAATTCTATAAGATTTCTCATATTATTAAATATTTGTCCTGTGAGAGGCTAGGTCCCACATTCACCGAACTTCATTGACTAAGTATTAATTACAGTTGTAAATGTACACCATGTTTTTGAATGAAGAGACTAATCAAGATTATGTTTTAAATGTGCTTCACCACAAAATTCAAACCACTATTGAACTGAGCACTTTTAATGAAGAGAAAAGAATGTTATTACATTCAAACTAAAGGCTTAATGTTAAAATAAGTAATCCATATTAGGGAGAAATCAGTAATCATACAACAGATAAATCTAAGCTATTGAATATTTCCTGAAGAAAAAATTTCCAGTTTTGTTAACCCTCTTGCTGCGCATCCCGCGATTTCCACGGGCAACGTAGAAGTAGCAAAATTTGCGCAACCCGCGATTATCGCGGGGATGCGTTTTTGCCGCCTATTTAAGTGTGCAACCCGCTCTTTCCCCGTTTATGGTTTCATTTCGGCTTTTCTGTAATGTTTATTTAGATGTCGACTAACAGATGGCGTTAGTTGTCCACGTTTCTGCGAAATATAAAAAGAATTTTTTTTAGCATTTTGCGCGCGCTTTTCAGAGCTCGAAGATGTCTGGCAGGAAGCATTTCGCGAGTGATATGACCTATGTTCCTGACGATATTTCCGACACTGACAGTAGTTCTGACTCTGATTCCGAGTATATTGATGATATTTATAGCGGAACTGATGAAAATTTCTCGGATTCCTCTGTGGATAGTGATGAATCTGAAAATTCATTTTCTATTCAAAACGCCCGACAGTGGTGCAAAATTGATATGCAAAATATTCCACCAGCTCCTGCTTCATTTCCTTTTATTGGCAATCCCGGACCAAATTTCACTATGGCAGATGAACTGTTTTGGATTATTTTGAACTTTTTTTGACGATGTTTAGTTGCAAATAGTAGTAAAAGAGACCAACAGATATGCTCAGCAGTATATGAATAAGGCAGTTTCCTAAAGAAAGATCAAGGTGGAAAAATTGGACCAGATACGGATGAGAAAGAACTTAGATTTCTTTTTCGTTTTGTTTCTCCAAGGAATTGTAAAAAAAAGCCTAAACAAGAATATTTTGGTCCAAACGTCGCATATTGCAAACACCTATTTTTCAACAAGTAATTCAGAAAGATAGATTTATTTTGCTGATTGAAGTTCCTTCATTTTACAAATAACGAAGAGAGAGTTTGATAAGGATAATCATCCATGGCCAAAATTAAATAATAAAATTTATGACATCATGGAGCATCTTCGAAACAAATTTCGAAATCTTTATATACCAGATAAAAATCTCAGCATAGACGAGAGTTTGATGCGCTTCAAAGGCGACTGAGCTGGAAAATGTTCATCGCGAAAAAAAGAGCAAGCTTTGGCCTTAAGTTTTTTGTGGTCTGCGAAGTGGAAATGGATATATTGCAGACTTTCTCATATACACAGGTAATGGAACTTTGTATAACCCGAAATTGCAAATTATCCAGTTTCCACTAAAATTGTTCTGCACCTGATGGACAGATTCCTGGGCCAAGGTTACTGTGTAACCATGGACAATTACTACATGTCTCCAAAGTTAGCAGACATTTTAATTTCAGAAAGAACAGACTTATATGGAACTGTAAATAAGATGAGGAAAGACCTTCCTCCAAATTTTGCAAAAGAAAAAAATCCCTAAAGGTGACGTCCTTGCTTACCAAAGTGGTAAAGTTGTGGCTCTGAAGTGGCAAGATAAAAAAAGTGTTATAAGTACAGTTCATAATGCAAGTTCCCGTTTGGTGAAATGCAAATCAAAGAAAACTGTACTCAAACCAATTGTTGTTTGTGATTACAACAACACGATGGGTGGGGTTGATTTATGTGACCAAGAAATGTCATATTACCCCACCTCAGAAAAAACAACAAGGGAAATATTATATAAAAAATTTTCCGACAATTCATGGATCATCACTGTGGAATGCTTATATCCTTTATAAAAAGGATAACCCATTACAAAATATAACGCTTCTAGATTTCCGTTTGCAAATTATTGAACTAAGCATTCAGAGGTATTCAGATAAAAATTCCAGCAGATGTATTCAAACTCTCAATCCCATGAGGCTAACGCTCGACATTTTCTAGCCTATACCCCCAAATCCATCAAGAAAGAGCCTCGTAGACAGTGTGCTGTCGTTGTTAAAAAAAAACTGAAAGCGGAAAAAAAATTCGAAAAGAAACGCGAATTTGGTGCAAAGATTGCGAGGTCGGACTTTGCCCGAGCCTTTTCGAAATTTATCATACAAAAACTTCATTTCTAATAAATGTTTTGTAAGTATTTTGCATATTTTCATTAGTATATACTTTTTACCTTTGTATTTTATAAAATAAATCATAATTTAACCAAAATTGATTTTCAAAATTTTGCTTTTTTATCATTATTCTTCAATTTCAATATTCTGACAACTTTATTCTATGATCTAATTCTATATTGAAAAAAACTGTTTTACAAAAAATTTTTGTATATTTTAAGTCTAAAATATATGTAGATTTGAAATATGTAATAAAAAAAAATACGCAATTTTTGAACCTATTTTGATAAAAAAAATACACAGTGAGAGGGTTAAGTTTTCAACATTACAGACTTCTTGCCATGCATTAAAATATAATTTTTAGTACGAATTTTTTTATTCAGATAGTACGCAAAAGAAAAAAGGGGGACAGTTCTCTGTCATTCTAGGTGCCCAGTCAGCAAAATTCAGTTTGCATTTTTCATGTCTTGACAGCACAACTTATATATTAGGTTTTCCGGAAAATAATGCAGATTTTTAACCTATATCTAAAGTAGCATAATTCAACTCAAAAACAATTTTATTTTGATTAATAAAATTGTTTTAATTAATAAGCATCAGTCAAATCAATGCATTTTTGCCAACGAGATACAAGTTTATTTATGCCAGTAAAATAAAATTCTGGACGCGATAAAGTTGTTAAAGGTGTTTTGGGCCTCATTTTGGTTTCTGAAGCATTTCTTCTGCAAAAAGTTATCCAGATGTTGAAAAAGTGGTAATTCGTCGACGAGAGGTCAGGCGAATATGAGTCACAGTCTTGTATTCCAATTCGTTCAGTTTCTGTAGGGTCAGTTGCGCGACGTCCGGCCGAGTATTTGTCGTGGAGAAGAACTGGCCCGTTTCTATTGACCAGTGTCAGGCACATGCGTTGCAATTTTTGGTGCATTTATCTGTTTGCTGACAGTACTTAGCTGCCGTAATTATTTTGCCCTGATTTAGGAAGCTGTGGTGGATGAGACCGGCCGCAGACCACCAAACAGTCACCATAATTTTCTTTTGGTTCAAATTTGGCTTTGGAAAGTGTTGTAGTGTCTGACCGCTGTCCAGCTACTGAGCCGAACATCACCACTTGTTATAAAGAATCCACTTTTCATCACACATAACAATTCGATCCAGAAAAGTGTCGTTTTCGTTGCAGAAAAGAGCAGGCGACGCTTCAAAACGGCGATTTTTTAATTTTATCTGAATTTTGTGGGGCACCCACTTATCAAGCTTCTTTGACTTTCCTATACGATTCAAGCGATCAGAAATCGTTGTTTTTCTTACGCCAAGCTCCTTCTCAAGCTCTCGAATATTTGTGCATGGGTTTGTTCAACTAAAGTCTTCAAATCGTCGTCATCAGCAGTTGAAGAGCAACCATGACCATCTTAAATTTCCAGGTCAAATTCTTCTCAGCAAAACTTTTGGTACCACCTTTGAACTGCAGATTCATTAACACTTTTCTCACTCGATACTTCGTTGACATTTTGAGCCGTTTGTGCTGCGCTGCAGCCTAGCTTGTACTCATAAAAATAAATTTGTCGAAAATCCCATTTTCACATCTAAAAAAACACCTAGTGAATATTTTTTAAGATAATTTTGGAACAAAATGATTATTATAGAAATATAGACCAAAAATAGAGTTCAAAATAATATAATTCAAAATATTTTTTTTCCTAAAAATGTACAAGAAAGATAAACAATTGCAAAAACCTGAATTATTTTCCAGACAACCCGGTATATTAAGATTATACATAATTGCACTAATTAATTTTTTATACAAAATTACTTTTCTGAACTAAATGATATTTCCTCCCCCACTTCAGCTCTACACTACAGATTATACTTATAGATGCATCTAATATATATCATAAGTTGTGCTTTTGAAATAAAAAGTGTGAGTTCTTTTGCCAGTTAAGAGGGTTGAAAAATGTACAATGCACCAAAAAAAGGAGGGACAGTTCTTTATCTCCCGTTCTACTGGGCTGATTGACAAAATTCAAATTGCGTTTTTCATGTCTCGAAAGCTCAACTTAGGACATATATTAGGTTTATGTATAGCACTATTCTAACATAGATATTTTGACACAAAATCGGACATTTTCTGAAATAACATACCAATTTTTTTACATATTTCGATGCCAAGACTGCCAAGTTTTGTAAAAATTGTACGAGTAGTTTTTAAAAAATTAGCTCTCAAAATTTTAGCTCCTGAATGTTAATTGAATTTAGCATATATTTATTAATATCTCTTTTTTTTATTGAACTTTTTTTATTTTTCCTTTACATTTAGAAATTTACTTTCATTCCAAATAAAATTCACCCATTTTTTGTGTTTTATATTTTAAATTTCTATTTTTAAATCATTTTTATAAATTTTTCGAAAAAAATTTTGAATCATAACCTATAAAATTTTTAGCATCATCTTAGAGTAGGTGTAGTTCTAAGCATACTTGCAAAAACTTAAGAGTTTTTTATTCAAAATTTTCTAAGATACACATGAATTTACATATTTTTGCATTTTGAAATTTGGCATCTTTTTTTTTTTTTTGAGCGATAATAATGCCAAATGTGGTTTATGGAATTTTGTTGCAGTGAATTGCCACAGCTATTTTTAACCTTAAATTTCAAATAAATTTTTACGGAGAACTAATTATATGAAATATTTTCCCTCAGTGACGCGTAATATATATTTATTGATACTATATGAAAAGCTATTTTTTTTTAATTATAGATGATATTATTCAAATTTTTAACTTGATATTATTCAAATTTTTAACTTTTTAAAAATTTCTTTCTTTAATATTTGTAAGAGTAAATTTTTACCTTCGCCATGTTATCATCTGCTACGTTACTTTGAATGGTCTAAAACTGAGAAATTTTGTTTGATGTTTATTTTCACAATGTTTTTAAGTGAACAAGATTTTGACAGTTTGAGTCATGTCCCGGCTTTAAAAATGATATATATAAGTATAAATGTTTACATTAATCCTCTTCGAAACAATGTTAAGTAGCTAATTTTCTCTCATGTTATAGATTGTATAAAGAACATGATCTTTAATATGATTTAGATTGCTTGTACAGTCAAAAGTCTTTAATCCGGACTCGTCGGGACTTCGGCAATTCCGGATTATCGGTTATTCCGGATTATAGATTGTCAGTTAAAGAACAATTATGATCTAAAGGGTATCAAAATTTACAAAAAAAAAAAAAAAAAAAAGCTTAACATTTATTTGTTTACTTTATTAAACATTTCTTTCAACGTGCACATGCATAAAGCATACATTACGCATAGTCGAAATTAGAAAATTGCAACCAGAAAACTATTTGATGTGTATTCGTGATATTTATAATGACGAGGAATTTGATTTAAATCATATCAAAGACAGTCATTGAGATGAAATACTACATTTAGTAAGGAATTATAAGCCAAATAAAATAAAAACATCTGCCCTGAAGATAAGGATAATGCTGACAGATCAACTTCCAGTTCATTGTGCGCCGCAACATTCGCCCCCACCCACCCAACAGAGCAGCGTTAAATTGATAAACAGATTTCGGAATGGTTAGAGAAACAAAGGATATGTCTTTATCCATTTTTTGCAGGAATTCCACTTATTGTTTGATGGACTTTCGTTTTGTAGATCCTTTGGAAGCTCCAGAATCGGAAATTCTTTTTGACATAATCGAAAGTTCAAGCTTACTTTTATAAAATTGCTTTAACAGTCTGCAAAAAATAATAAGCTGGATCCAATTAGGAGAATAAGGAACAACGCAATCTGCAACATTAACTGAAATAGAAAATTAGCTTAGCTTATACCGTCCGTTATACATTAAACGCACATACGTAAACGTATATGTGCATGCGCAGAAAGTTTGTAGCTTTGAGGTCCGAATTATATATCATTCTGGATTATGGACGTCTGGATTAAAGACTTGATAACTCTGTAGTTGATATAATAATCGGGTCACTCAGTGGTACAGAAAAACACTGCTGGACTGTTTTATTTCTTTGTCATTTAGCAAAAAATCTTTTAATTAAAATATTTATCCTTTGGACTTTGCTTTAAACTTTATTTATAGTTAAAATGCCTAGAAAATGAAAAGCTGTCTTCAACTGAAACACAGTTGATGTAATTGATATTTTAAAAAAATTGACAGGAATGCAAAATTTATGGAAGTGTAACAATCGAAAAATCTTAATTTTCTTGTGGTGAGTACTGAAAATAAATGTAGAAGGAAAGAAGAAAAGTAAGCAAAAATTTGAAGGGGAATTTGGCTGTCAGAAATGTCAAGGTGTTTTGAAAAGTTGGATGCTTTTGAATATACTTTTAGAGTGCTTTTAAGGAATTTGGGTGTTCAAAAGGAAAACACTTGGACGTGCACACCAGCAGATACATCAATTGAGACGGAAAAGACAAAAATGATATCATTGGAGATTAAAGTAAAGAGCCACTGGTTTTCAACTATATGGTTGTATAAATTTAAATTACGTTGTAGAACATCATATCATCATAAACGGAGAATCCCATGATTTCTTAGCTGAAATATTTGAATATTCAGGAATTTATCCAGTGACCTAAAGACATTTTCCCCCTTGATGAAACCAGTCTTTCCTTTATTCTTATGCCTCTAGAGACTGATAAAGCTCTGATTAAATACTGATGAAATGGATTGAACTGGATTATTAAGTTACGGCAAAGCAGGGCTATCTGCCTTCGTGAAGAACATTCTGAGGGAAACCAGCTGGCATACACGTTACAATGAAAAAAACCACGATTACGCCCATACAACCAGCCTGTTTCCCGGGATTCAAACTACCAGTGTTCAGCGACTTTACCGTTCGGTCCTTGCGTGTCTTTATGAAATGGAAGGCAATAACTTTATTTAAAATGAATGTCAGAAATACCAAGATGTTTCGAAAAATTTCATACTTTTTAATGTACTTGCAGAATGCCTGAAGAAAAAGAGCAAGCCATGAAGAAGAAAAAAATTAATGTT